TTGGGATATATGGTTGGAAATGGCTATGTTTTCCTATAATACCAGTACTTATGAAGCTACAAGTTTCACCTCATTCGAACTAATATATGGAAAATTAGCAAGAATTCCATCAAGTTTATCATCAGAACAGCTAGGAAGAACGTATGACGAATATCTGGAAGAATTGATGGATGACCTAGACGAAGTACGAAAAATAGCTAGGGAAAATTTAGAAAAAGCTAAAAAGAGATCCAAAGGATATTACGATAGAAAAATAAATCCAAGGAAATTCACTCCTGGACAATTCGTGTTTTTATTAAGAGGAACCGTCATAAGGAAATACGATAATCAATATGTAGGGCCATATGAGATTATTGAAGTATATGAAAATGGAAATGTCAAACTTAAGATATCTCAAAAGAAAACCAAAATCGTCTATTCAAATCTAGTCAAGGAAGCGCACTAGTTAAATAAATCTTTCCCAAATTGTCACAAAATAACTTTGAAATTTTATTTAATAGGAAACAATGGGACATTTTGACCCTCAAGATATTTCCCACTGGGATTTAATTGAACAAGAAGAAGTGTGGGAACAATTAGCCCAGGAAATGTTCGACTTAAAAGAACAGTTACAGGAAATATTGAGATTAGAAAGACAGCTACGAAGAAGAGTATACCGAGCACGCATGAGGAAAGAAAAAATCTTACACCCCAGTCAACGGATAAATGTTATTAAAGAATATCATACATCCGCAGCTGGAGGACACAAGGGTATAACTAAAACTTATAAACGAATACGACAGGAATTTTTCTGGAAAAATATGAAAGAAGATATACGAAACTATATTTTATCGTGCATTAGCTGTCAGAAGAAAAAGTTAGTACGAAACAAAACACGTCAGCCTATGGTTATCACCGATACGCCGTTGAATACCTTCGATAAGGTAGCATTGGATATCGTCGGTCCTTTACCAGTCACTGCCTCAGGGAATTGCTACGTTCTAACTATGCAAGACGATCTATTAAAATATTCCATAGCAGTACCTTTACAAGAAATGGATGCTATGACGGTAGCCGAAGCTTTCATTAAACATTGTATTTGTCAATTCGGATCGCCTCGAACAGTTCTTATGGATCAAGGACGAAATTTTATTAGTTCACTTATGCGAGAATTAACTAGAAGATTCCGAATTAAAAAATTAAAAACAACAGCATTTCATCCTCAATCAAACGGATCTTTAGAAAGGTCTCATCACGTATTAGCTGAATATCTGAAACATTATGTGAGCGAAAAGGAGAATTGGGATATATGGTTGGAAATGGCTATGTTTTCCTATAATACCAGTACTCATGAAGCTACAGGTTTCACCCTATTCGAACTGATTTATGGAAAATTAGCAAGAATTCCATCAAGTTTATCATCAGAACAGCTAGGAAGAACGTATGACGAATATCTGGAAGAATTGATGGATGACCTAGACGAAGTACGAAAAATAGCTAGGGAAAATTTAGAAAAAGCTAAAAAGAGATCCAAAGGATATTACGATAGAAAAATAAATCCAAGGAAATTCACTCCTGGACAATTCGTGTTTTTATTAAGAGGAACCGTCATAAGGAAATACGATAATCAATATGTAGGGCCATATGAGATTATTGAAGTATATGAAAATGGAAATGTCAAACTTAAGATATCTCAAAAGAAAACCAAAATCGTCTATTCAAATCTAGTCAAGGAAGCGCACTAGTTAAATAAATCTTTCCCAAATTGTCACAAAATAACTTTGAAATTTTATTTAATAGGAAACAATGGGACATTTTGACCCTCAAGATATTTCCCACTGGGATTTAATTGAACAAGAAGAAGTGTGGGAACAATTAGCCCAGGAAATGTTCGACTTAAAAGAACAGTTACAGGAAATATTGAGATTAGAAAGACAGCTACGAAGAAGAGTATATCGAGCGCGCATGAGGAAGGAGTTAGACGATCTATGGTTGGAAGATAGTGACGATTCACCACACGACATATTTGACTTAAGGTCATTATTTTCCTTATCAATATTAAACAACTAAAGGAGATTGATGTCGGGAATAGGGATTTTAGAATAAAAGAAGGAAAACAAATATTTTAAAATAAATGATTATATTTTGTGTTAACAAAATGAGAAATAGAAAATGTATAAAGGATAATTGTTAAAATAAAATACTTATACTATATCTATAGACCATACATCTTATATTCAAATAACTATTATAATATGCTAAAATGACAATTTCTAATATCTATTATAATATGCTAAAAAACGTTTTTAAATTTTGTAATAGTTTTAGAATTTTGAATATGATAAGTATCAAGTATAAAATACACCGAAATAAAAATCCAAAAACACAAAAACATCACTATCAAAAAACTGTCTACATTTCCACTTTCACTTTCACCGAGGAGGGTTGTGAGGTCTCCGCAATGGGGCAGGAGGATCTCGCGGACGGAATAGTCGCCTTCCCTCTTGAATCTCTGCTACCGGAACAGCGGGCCTTACCCGAATTCCGGTAGTGACGAACCAGAAGTGGTCCCCAATCCCCGGATAGAAGAAATATTCAGGACCTCTTACTTTGCCGATGTTAATGTGGCTAAGAATCCTGGACATCTGTGGGGCAGGGTGTTGGAGCCACTCGTCTGGCAGGTCAACCACCTCTTCGTGACCGTTTAAATGGTTAGGAAGGGTATCAAAAAATTCCTGAAAAATAAACGAAAATTAGTAAAAACGAAATGAATAAAATAATATCGATAACAAATTTGTAATACTTACAAAGTCGCGAACTTCCTCGTGATTTTGTCCGTTTGCTGGAGGCCGCTCAGGTTCCCTCGTAGGAAGTTCCACCAGAAACGATAAAATAAATAGGAAAAAATTGAACATGTTGACTCTTTCGTTATACTCGAGTTATACTCAATGTCAAGCAAGTAATGAACAGAAATCGCGGGAGCACAATGTTTTATAGACAGGTAGAAGGGAAAGGAAATAAAGAGTTCAATAGTCACAAGTCGATAAGAAGATTCGCGTTTCAAAAAGAATGTGGAAACTGATATTAATACAGTCTGGACACTATCATATCTACACTACACTATGCGAGAATATATTACGTTAGTCTCAACAATTAAAAATAGATTTCTATTATAGGATTCAATTATTGATATGTTCATGAGGAAGATAAAATGGGTCATGATAATTATCGCAATAATATTCATACCAAAATCACAATAAATAATAACCGGGTTTGGAACATTTAGTGCAGGATTGTTAGGAATCTGGATGGTAGTGTAATTTCTAAAGTTTGTTGTAGATACTATACTTCATGGAATAGCTCTACATACAATATATGGATGGAGCCTATGGTTAATCGGAGCTAAGTAAATAATCTGAATATTACGACAGTCTCATTATTACAAGTTGGAACATGTGATTTACCAATTAACAAACCAATTGTGGAAAACGTCGAAATACAGCTGTTACAACTAACAGATTTTATGTCAACGGAAGTATTGCAATGTAAAATCGAAATTGATCGAACAATTTATTACTGCGGAATGTATTCGCATATTTCGGTCGTGAACAATGGGAGAAGAGAATATATTCAAGAAACAACTAAAGAGCAATGTCAAAAAATTCATAATACATTGGAAGTAGGATCACCATCAGCACCCCAATTTAATTCAATGGAACAACGATCCACAAATCAAACACAACTACAAACACAAACACAGACAAATGTATTATATCCGAGTTTGAAAAACGAATCAGGGAAACAACCAAATGAACAACCTAAGATCATATATGTTCATATGGACGAAAACTAAGCAAATTGCATAGTTTCCGTTCTAAAGGGGGGAGGTGTTACGTTCCACTCCTTATAACTATCAATGGCAAAACACATTAATTTCTTCTACACATTATAATCATTTAATCATATAATCATTAATGTAACATATTATTAACGTTACACGAACAATATTAAATATTGTATTTTACCTTGTTAATATTGAACAATGATAAATAAACGGATAGGTCTGAATCTTCTCGGATGACATTCAAGGAGATTCAAATAACGGAGTACGACTTGGTATATTGATTATCGGAAAAGGGTTAGCTATCAATCGATATATTAAGAATTTTGAAGAAGGGGAGTCACATTGACCAATCAGAAGTAGTTTTACTGCTATAAAAAGGGAGCCAGAAGTAGCATTGGGGGATGTTTAGAAAGAGATTAAGAGAGTAACATCAGAATTGTCGAGTGTGTCGTGAGTGAAGTCAAGATATACCAAGTACCTCTAAAACTTATCCAAGTTACCAAAATCAGAGTATTCACAATTACTCGTAACCTTCCCGGATAGAACTGAAGCCGTTGTATAGGGCCTCTATCCATCCTTACTATTTCTAAAAAGGTAGAACTGAAGCCGGATCTAGGGCCTCTACCTTATCCTACCAAATCATTAATACAAATCGAAACTTCGATCAACATTCCATACATCATCAGGACTTGGATAGGACTGATTCACGCTGAATCCCCTAATTGAGATTCGATCGGATACTGAGGGAATTCCAAATATACTTGTTATAGAAAATCTGAGTAAGTACAGACTTATGCCTAAACGAAGTGGTAGAAAAGTTCAGTTATGTAAAATATTCAGACAATTAAATAAACCATATACTCAAAAACAAACAAAACCAACGAGCCAAAAGGATCTTGTCACGACAGAATATCAAGTTAACGAACAAGACAATTCAATTCAATACTTACCGTGGAAATTGATTCCCATAGAATTTTCAAGTTTACCAAAAGATTTACCTACTGAAGAATCACTTAAAAATAGAATATTTCCAGATCCGGGAAGACACATCTTGAGAAATTATCACAACTCCAAATCATAAAATTCGTTAGGCCTTGTATTAACACGTGGACGTGCTTTTAAAGTAGACCGAACCAACGAATCATCCCTTATATTACAAACTTCATTTACGATTGCTTGATTTTCCGGATTTAGCAATCGTAACACATAATTTAAATTAAGAATAAATGAAATGTGAAAAATAAGAAAATCTTCCCAGAAAAATTTCCTGAAAAAAAATGCGAAGCCTCCCCTGTACCTCTCATAGCTTAGCGGGAGAGTCATTAAAGCTGGCATAAAACATACAAGTGTGAGGGCATTGTTTTGTTTCCATTTTGTAGTCACCTTAAATAGATTAACATTTAATTAAAAAAACCTTCCGTCTTCGGCCGTAGAATTCTTTGGTATACCCCATGAGAATACTACGTTGCCCAACTTTCACCATGAGGAGGTAGATGGATAGGCTCATGGTGTGTAACAAGTGTAAATGGCAATTGCTACACACCTTCGAAAGTCGAATGTTTGTGTTATCATGTGTTATGTTGTGTTGTGTAGTGTGGTATGTGTGTGATGTGTTTAGTGATTATGTATTCGGAGATCAGGTCTTCGCGGTTCGTCATTTCCGCGGTATTTTTTGACTCCAAACCTTCTCCGAATACGTGTGGGTGCGTGTAATTGTGTGTGAGAGTGTGTGTTTTTGAATTTAATATTTTAACGAGTTTCCCCGTACTCGTATTAACGTCCCACACCGCGACGGCATACTTTTAATCGCATTCGCGATCGCGCTTTACTTTTTCTCCTCATGGAACTTACAATATATTCATTCTATCCTTCTCCTCCCCGGGCTACATTAGTTTCTGTCTGGTTTTATCTTCCCCACGGCTCACTGTTTTCTATCTGTCCTTCTCCTTCTCGGGCTACATTAGTTTCTGTCTGTTTTTATTTTCCCCATGGCGACACTGTTTTCTATCTGTCCTTCTCCTTCCTACGGCTTATTGGGGCCCATTCGTCTCCTTCTTTCTTTCGGTCGCGATTTTCATTTGTTTCTGTTCTTACTTCAGAAAAACTTAACGGAAAAGTCAGTCTAGCTTTTCTAGTCATTCGATCTACGTACGCGGAGGACTTTAAATCACTTAGAAAAATACTAAAATGTCGCGTTTAACTGATCTTGAAATGGGGAGGGTAATCGAACTGTTAAATGCTGGCCGGTCCCAGCGAGAGATCGCGATAAATTTAGGAAGAAGCGTGTCGGTTATAAATCGATTGATTAAAAGATATCGCGAGACCGGGAAAGTGAATTATCGGCACGGCGGAGGCCGATCAAGGGTGACGACGCGGCGCGAAGATCCCGCGATTGTTTCAGAAGCGCGGCAAAATCTGTTTACATCCGCTACGGCGATCGCGAAGACAGCGATACCACGTAGTGTATCGCGGGACACGGTAACGCGTCGCTTAGCTGAACGCGGAGTTAGGTCGTTCCGTTCAGTAATTAAACCCGACCTAAGTAATATTCATAAAAATAACCGCGTAAACTTTGCCGTTAATCACCGGGAATGGTCTGACGAAGACTGGGGTAGCTGCATGTTCACGGATGAATCTAAAATTATGCTAAAAAGTGCGACACTTAGGCGCGTTTGGCGGCGTACCGGACAACGCCTTGATGATAAATGTATTACACGGGACGCGATAAATTCACGGCAGTCGATTACGATTTGGGCGGGAATCATGATCGACTCGCGAACGGATATCGTAATTTTTAGTAACGAAACCGTTAATTCTGAGGCCTACGTAAATAAAATTTTGTGGCCGGTAGTAGTGCCTCTAGCGCGCCGCCTCGGTAATAAATTAATTTTTATCGACGACAATGCGCCGGCGCATCGGGCTAAAGTTGTTTCCGAATTTTTAAACGTCCAAAAAGTCACACGAAGCTCGTGGCCCGCGTACACCCCAGATTTAAACCCGATCGAAAACATCTGGGCTGTTTTAAAATCCCATGTTCGCGCTCACGATCCGCCGCCTGCAACGTTGGATGAATTAGAAGCCGTAATAGTCGAGGGATGGCAGGCGATTCCTCAAAGCGCGATCGCGAACGCGATTAAAAGTATGCCGTTGCGGTGTGGGACGTTAATACGAGTACGGGGAAACTCGTTAAAATATTAAATTCAAAAACACACACTCTCACACACAATTACACGCACCCACACGTATTCGGAGAAGGTTTGGAGTAAAAAAATACCACGGAAATGACGAACTGCGAAGACCTGATCTCCGAATACATAATCACTAAACACATCACACACATACCACACTACACAACACAACATAACACATGATAACACAAACATTCGACTTTCGAAGGTATGTAGCAATTGCCATTTACACTTGTTACACACCATGAGCCTATCCATCTACCTCCTCGTGGTGAAAGTTGGGCAACGTAGAATTCTCATGGGGTATACCAAAGAATTCTACGGCCGAAGACGGAAGGTTTTTTTAATTAAATGTTAATCTATTTCAGGTGACTGCAAAATGGAAACGAAACAATGCCCTCACACTTGAATGTTTTATGCCAGCTTTAATGACTCTCCCGCTAAGCTATGAGAGGTACGGGGGAGGCCTCGCATTTTTTTTCAGGAAATTTTTCTAGGAAGATTTTCTTATTTTTCACATTTCTTTTATTCTTAATTTAAATTATGCATGGTAATTGAGAGGTTTAAGATGCAAAATAATATGAAGAAAAAGTAAGAAAATTAACGTGAAAAAATAATTGAATGAAATAACCAATAAATAAATAAATAAACAAATAAAAGAAACAATGAAAAATAAAAAACTTACACAAATTGTTGTAATTATTATTTTTAAAAAACTTCTAGTATGCGCCATTGTCAGCGCGGCGGATCGTACGGTCCTGAGCGGTTGCCCCGCTACACGTCTCTCCGCAGCTCGGGCTGCGCACAACCCCACCACGCGCGCCTAGCGATTGTCCCCCGAGTATCTCGAGCGAAACTCGCAAAATTTAGGCGTTTTTTCAAATGAAAAATGTAACCCCTTA